TTATTGGAGGAATTGAAGACAGCGTCAGCCGTTACCATGAACGCCCACGCCGATTGTTGTTGGTAGCGCAGCAGAGAGCAATCGGGGTGACGAACTGCAGCTTGAGAAGACTGGGGGTTTTTTGAAGATTGCGAATGCGGTAAAGGTAGAATCGCCGGGAGGTCAATAACCTTAGCCGGCTCTCTATGAACAAACCGGCTGACTTTTACCGACATAGGCCAAAAATCGTCATTGAAGACTGTTGGGAAATTTTGCTCCGGAACTCCCAATTTAAAATTGACGAACTTAAGGGCGTTGATGTCAGCATCCTTTTTGATCAGCCTAGCACAGACTAAATCATTGGGCTCCACATTCAGCTTATCTGCGACAAATTTGCACAGTGCATCCGGTTGAGTAGAAGTCGCGAATTTACCCACATGAAGGTATTTCAAGGTGGGAAGCACTTGAAGTTGAGCGCAACTGGGTGCTTGTCCCACAATGCGCCTATTAGGGTTGATCCGCTTCTTCTTCGGGACAGCCCCCTTAGATGCCGATGTGGCCTGCCCCAGAGTAGCCTTTATGCTCCCAGTGCTGGTGGGCATTGCAGGGGGAGCAACAACATGCACCCCAGCCGAGGAGGCGCGTCCAGCGGGCACAGCCGCTCCATTTACCAGGGCAAGGTCAACTTTGGCATTAAGGCTTTCGAAGCGGGACTCCAGATCTAGAACTTTATGATTTAGCTCATCAATTTTGGAATGCGAATCATTTCCAATGACGCAGCTATCACATTGCCACATGAAGTTCGGAATGTTAATAAGTAATTTTATAGCCTCCGAGGGCAAATCAACACAAGCGGTGTGATAGGCACGCCGGCAGATCGACGCGCACCGAACGGCCTCACACCCACGAAGTTGGGTAGCAGTAACTTCTGCACTGCACTCGGTGCAAACGAGAGGCGACATGAGCGAAAAAGTAGACGTCCGAACTCAAAGAAAGCTAGATGAAGATTATATTAACATATAATAGGTATTTTATTAAATTGTTTAGTTCATTTTATTTATTATTGAGAATAAAGTTAAAAAAGTTACAAATTTATGGAGAAAGAACTGACAAAATAACTTCAGTATAAGGAATGATAAGTAATTCAATTAGTAATGAACATAACTTCCTTTTCCTATCACAACGCTAGGCACTTGCCTTGGAGTTTTTTTAAGGGATCGATAGTCGGCACTTAACTCGTAAAATTTGTGACGTCGCAATCGTTTACTCTTTCGTACTGCTCACCTTCTGCGCCCGAGCTATCGCTGAATTTTGTCAGTTAACGAAGCTATTATTCTATTCGATTGTCTTTCTACGAGTCTTCGTTTGGACATTTTTAACAATTAGTGTAAACACAAAACAATGAATAAATTTTAAAAACGCACGCACCACGTTGAAGCGAAAATTTGCACTGACTAACTTGCATAAAAGAAGAACATGCTAAACAAAAAGCACAAAATAATAACGGAAGATTTCACGAGAAACAGATGCAAAATACCATAGAAGAGCAGCAAATAATAGCTTCGAAAACGCTCCGAGACGGTGCGACTTTAGGAGCCCTTTTTATTCTTTGCTTCGGAGGGCTCCGTAAACGCTCCGAAAAGGTGCTACTTTGGGAGTCTCGTTTCGATCCTTCTTCGGTGAGCTCCGCAAACTCTCCAAAGAGGTGCTACATTGGGACTCCTTTTTCGCTCCATTTTCGCTGCGCTCCGGAAACACACCTTTGCGGTATAAATTTGGGAGTCCGTTAACACTCCTAGTTTGGAGCGCTCCGCATATGGTTGGCTGGGTATCTGCTATTCCTTACTAATACTAATGCGTTTAAATCATATGAATTCATTGGGTGCCGACCACTGGTGTAAAGTTATTCGAAAAAAAATAAGTAAGAAAACTTTTTTTTTCGAAAATAAAGTTGATTTAGGTTGTCTTGGAGAGGTGATGAACCGACCTTGGGTTTTCAAAACAACTAGAACATTTATAACAAGAAAGGAAAGCTAACTTCGGGCGGAGCCGAAGTTTACATACCCTTGCAGTTAAAACTGGATATATATCGCAAACATCGGATATAGTTGGCTGATCCTTATGATTACATCATAATAAAACTAATTAACTAAAATAAAAAATTTAAAAAAAGTCCCAAACTTCTATCTTCAAAAATACGAAAGTTGATATTTCTACCAAGTACCATTTCCGATCGTTCAGCTATATGGGAGCTATAGGATATAGTCGGCCGATCCTAATGAAATTTGGTAGGTTGGCTCAACTGGCCAAAAATAGAATCTGTATTAAGTTTCAGCTTTTTATCTTCAAAAACACGAAAGTTGGGTCATTTCCGATCGTTCAGTTATATGGCAGCTATAAGATATAGTCGGCCGATCCTTATGAAATTTGGCATGTTGTAATGGTTTGCCAAAAATAGCTCTCGTGTCAAATTTGATCTCTCTAACTCTAAAAACACCGAAGTTATACTATTTCCGATCAATCAGATATGGCAGCTATAGGATATAGTCGGCCGATCCGGGCCGTTCCGACTTATATACTGCGTGCAAAGGAAAGAAGGGTGTGTGCAAAGTTTCAAGTCGATAGCTTTAAAACTGAGAGACTAGTTTGCGTAGAAACAGACAGACGGACAGACAGACAGACGGACAGACGGACCGACGGACATGCTCATATCAACTCAGGAGGTGATCCTGATCAAGAATATATATACTTTATAGGGTCGGAGATGTCTCCTTCACTGCGTTTCACACTTTTGGACAAAATTATAATACCCTCTGCAAGGGTATAAAAACTCATATGTGTAAAACTAATCTAATTTCCTTTGGGACTTGAAGTCTTTAACACAATGGTTTCAGGGATCCCCTAATGTATCATGGAGCACTTAAGGGGACCCCTCCCATTCTCTATTTCAATGAACTAAATTTGTGTTATTAAAAACAATACCTGTCCCATGCCCACGCCCAAAACTATATTGGCAGAATATCTGCAGAATATATCTGCCTCGCACGAAAGAATGGAGCAGCAATAAGAAATGAAACAAGTGTATACCAACAAATAATCGTTGTAATTTGAATATTTAACGTTAACATCTAATATTATCACGTATTTGTAAGTTTACAATATGAAGGTTTTACAAAATTTTAATTTGGTTACAATATAATTAGGTTTTACCTTTTTCTTAAATCAGAATTGAACAAAATTATTTAATAAAGTTTTCTCTTATTTCTTACTCTTGTACAAGGATTTCCATTAGATCCAGATTATCACCAACTTAAATCCAAACAATTCAAATTATTCAGCCTTTTCCTTCATCAGGCGATCATGTTCTTTATTTCAAGTATCATGCCAACAACTAGCACACAGTCATTCACAAAATAAACTGGCCAATAAACAAGCTAAATAAGCCAACAGTTTATATCCAGACAAACCGGCTATCATAAATAGCTCGCAGTTTAGTTTATAAGTCGGCTAAATATCAGATGTCCGATCATAACCAATATTTCAGTTTTACTGCAGAAAATGAGGAACCACATAGCTCGGGCGCTTACATTTACAGAAAATCGTGAAACAGGAAACGTTTTAAAGCTATCGAAACTTTTCACACACCCTTCTTTCCTTCGATACAGTATATATGTCGGAACGACCGGGATCGGCCGACTGCTGATTGATCGGAAATGGTATAACTTTGGCGTTTTTAGAGAAAGAGAGTTCATTTTAGAGAGTTCAATTTTACATGAAAGCATTTTTTGGCAAAAGATTACGACATGCCAAATTTCATAAGGATCGGCCAACTATATCCTATGTCTGCCACATAACTGAACGATCGGAAATGACTCAACTTTCGTGTTTTTGAAGATAGAGCTGGAACTTGGTACAGATTCTATTTTTGGTCAGTTAATCCAACCTACCAAATTTCATAACGATCGGCTGACTATATCTTATAGCTGCCATATAAGAACACTTTAGCCTAATAAACATGAATTTTATAATGAAGTAAAATGAAAAATAATTTGCCTCGCCTAATTCGCCACCGCCTTGCCGCTGAACCACCCCCATTTTTTGCGTTCTCGGATCTCTTGAGGATCCAGATAAAACCTGTTCTGAGGGAATTATGTTAGGTAGTTCACAGTTCGAGAGGCCGTGCACGCATTCTATCATTGATATAATTTATGATCTTCGAGGCCAGAATCAGTGAGAGAGAGGGGGCCCTATGAGACCCACCCATTGGCCGACGAGACCTCAAAAAACAAATTTGCACTTGATCGCGACCGGGTTCTAGACGGACCAATGGCCAAGTAGAACTACTTATGAGTACTCTAAGGTCCATGCTAACGGCGGTTGAAACGTGTCAGGAGTCATGTCAGGACGCTTTATATAAAATTCAACTGGATCTTAATTGTACGCCTAATAGAGTGACTAAGGTTGGCCCTTAAGAAATTCTTAATGTCAAAGAAAACAAGAACGTTGAAAAAAGTTGTTGAAAATAAGAACGATGTTGATGTTGACAAAGTTAGAGAAATGGTTAAACAAACCATGGTTAAGAATGTCAATTACGATAAGGCTAGATTTGATAAAGATATGGCTACTATTATAGGACAAAAAGTATATAACCTGCTTAATAACGAAGAGCGTCATCAGGCAAAACTACACTCTAAGTTTAGATAACCTATTTTAGTGACCGAAATCTTGGATAAAGATCGATATAGATTTCAGGCATACACTATATGTACATATATATGATATTATTATAACATAAAAATATTTTCACGAATTTTTGAGACGTATGCCTAAGAAGGGGATTACCACAGAAATGGATGATGATAGTGATGATGATGCAGTGATAAAGATGCCACAGATCAAGCCAGTGAGGGCTGTGATCTTTAAATAAAACAAGAAAGGAAAAATTCATTCGGGCGGAGTCGAAGTGGATATACTATTGTGTTTTGTTATTGTAATTTACATAGGCATAGAAAAGTACTTGGTTATATTCTTCCCAGAGCCGTGAGATTCAGGCACATGCCCAGCGTAAGGATCACGATGACCACTACGAGGATGGCGAAGCAGAGGTAATTCGGCTGGATGGGCATCCGGAAGAGTTTGGCCGACATGTCCAGCGAGGCGGCGAACAACAGCGTCGAGTTGAGATCTTCCGCGGAGGTGTTGTGGTACACAAACGGTCGGACCCGTATCTGATGCCCGTTGGCCTGGGCATTTTGGCACACACGCGTGACTGAGGAGGCCACGAAGAACGGGAGAAGGCCTAGGAAAAGCCACAGCATCACGTTGGCAATGTTCAGCAGGACGAGCTTCAAGGCGCAATAGTGAAAGTCAAAGTCCTTAAACAAATAAACGAGACCCGCGAATGCATATGCCAGATTCATCACAATCAGGAAGCATACCGATACCGGGACCGATACGTGCTGATTTAGTCTTTCAAGGAGCTTTCGGAATTCCAAGACCTCCCGCATCCAGTCCAGCGAGTCGATGGAGTGCATTAGAAGCTTGTGGGACAAAGTTTCCAGATGCATTCTCAACAAGTAGCACTCGATATAGAAGTTGCTTAGAATAATGACCTCCACCAGATCCTGCAGAAGAATGGTGGCCAGCAGACTCACACGTAGCCAGACTTCCCAGTCGCTCAGAACTTCCGCCAGCCAGGATATTTTAACGATCTGAGCTGGCTGCATCACAACAACGCAGCAGACGTAGCCGAAGAGCAGAACCAGGAGTGCAAGCGCAACTCCTAGAAAGAACCTTAGCATTCGGCACAGCCTCTTGGGCTTAGCGGACATCAGGAAGACCCTCTCAATGAGATTCTGTAGCTGTTCGTGATCGATTACTTTGCAGACAAGCAAGATAGGTATTCCTCCATCAGCTCCATTGTTTATAGGTCGTATATCCCGGTTGCTGGTGAAGCCCCGGTCGCCTCTATAGCCGCATATGTAGCGGAGAACATAGCCCACCAGGAGTACACATAGCACCATTAAAGCCTGAACGTAACTGCAGCAGGCCCTCACATTGCTCATATCCGTCGAGATGGGATTGAGACCGACCAGTGTCAAGATGGCCACATACGGACGGAGGAACTTTCGCCTGCAGTAGTCCAAGAGTGCCGAAGTGGGCTCATGTTCTCCCGGCTGCTGCAGTTCATCATTGGCATTCCCGTTGAGGCGGTTGATGAAACAAAAAGAGCTCTCCGCATTATTGCGATACATGACAGACAAAGAACATCAATGTAAAAAACAAAAGTACACAGAGAAAAATTCCAAAAAAGAGCCAATTTAGTTTTCAGTATGAAAAGATTGGACAAAATTGGGTCAGCGTTCAACACAAAACTTTAAATATTTTATATTAACTATTTTGGTTTTCTCTGTGTAATAGTAACAAAAACTGTGAAAGTAGCGTCACAATCACAACAAAAACACATAACGTGGGTGGAGATGGAGAGGAGGCACGAGGCACCAGAGAGAGAGAGTGTAAGTGAAAAGGTGCCAGTGAGAGTTCGGTATGCGAGAAAGTTGACGCGAGAGAGAAAGACGATCGCCGGGTGGCGGTCCAGCCACAACTGATATACCCTTGCAGTTAAACCCGAATATATATCGCAAACATCGGATATAGTTGGCCGATCTTTATGAGAATATGATAATGTAACCCAATTTATTATAATACAAAATCTAAAAAAAAGTCCCAAACTTGTATCTTAAACAAGAAAGGAAAGCTAACTTCGGGCGGAGCCGAAGTTGATATACCCTTGCAGTAAATTGTGGAAAAAATTAAACACTGAAACTATTTAGTATACCTAGTATACTTTAAATTTTGTATAGTTAGCCTTTTTATCATTTTTAACAATACTATGGAAGTGATTTAACATATTCATTTGTTATACTGGGATTCCGGGTAGTAGGTTATTAATGATCATAAAATTGTGTTCATTTTCATTGTTAAGTTTACAACCCTTTACTTTTTAAATAACACCCGAATTTTTATTACGAGAAAACCATGGGATTATCCCATGATGACCTAATCCAGGTAATGCCGCCAATTGGTTCAATGGAAATCCACCTTCGTTGAATGAACACGTGCAAGGGTTTTAAATTGCGTAACAGGTAGGGCAGGTATGAATGAAATTTATATGGGGACTGAGTAACTTTAAAATATCAGGTATTACCTTTTTTCTGATTGGTCAAATCGGAATAACATTATCCCTCAAATTTGGGCTGCAAATATTGGTAACGCCTAAGTTCATAACACAACAGGTAAAACAGGTATATAAAATGATCCTGACACTTTATTGCCTTGACAAAAAGGGTAAAACTGTATAACCTTAAAGGGTTAAGGGATTATACGTTTTTTTTTAAATATTACCTAACTTGCCTATATATTAAAAAAACCACTAATCCGTAGATCAGTCTAAAAAAAATTTTATCGAGTGACGACGTTACTCTGCCAGTTAATTTAAAGTGCGTGAAAAGTATTTTTTGCCAGTGTTAATATTAAGGAGTGCAAGTTTTATTTTTTACCAGTGACAAAAAGTGTGTGTTTAAAAAATATATGAAATAATTGTTAAAACATATATTTTGGTAAGTCTATTCCCCTAAAAGCATCCCTTAGTATGAGATTTATGAAGGAGGAATTTAATCCTTCGTAAATTTCCTATTTCCATTTTTACCATAATTGTGAATTCCATAATTGTGAAAATAATTTAATTTGAATTTTTTCCAACAGCACGCAAAAAATGCCACGTGTTTCCCGCACATCCCAGGAACAACGCCGCCAAGCTGCTTTAAACCGCAGCAGAGCCCGCTACCAACAAAATGCGGTGGAAATAAGAAGCAGGAACTCGCAACACATCGCCAATGTACGAGCAAGCAACCCAGACTTACAGGAGGAAAGTCGTGCGCAGAATTCCGCAGCACGGGCTCAGAGGAGACGCAGCGAAAGGATTCGCAATCTAGAGCGCCTTCGGGATACTGCAGCACATGCTGATAGGCGACTGGATCTTCAATTCCGTGTTCCAGAGAGGGTTCGGGACGCAGAATCGCATTTTGATCGTCGACAGAACCCAGACTATCGTGTTTCAGAGAGGATTCGGGACATGGAAGCACGGGCGACCCGTCGAGAAGACCCCGAGGAGCGGCGACGAGAGCAGTTACAAAACACTGCTGACCATTCTACTCGGAGGGATAATCCAGAAATACGTTTCGCAGAGCGGATTCGGGACGCAGAATCGCATTTTGTTCGTCGGCAGGACCCAGACTATCGTGCTTCAGAGAGGATTCGGGACATGGAAGCACGGGCGACCCGTCGAGAAGACTCCGAGGAGCGGCGACGAGAGCAGTTACAAAACACTGCTGACCATTCTACTCGGAGGGATAATCCAGAGCACCGAATTCCCGAACGGATTAGGGACATGGAGGCACATGCGGCCCGCCGAGTGGACCTGGAGGAGCGGCGACGAGAGCAGGTGCAAAATACTGCTGACCATGCGACGCGGAGGACTATTCCGGAGTACCGAAATCCGGAACGGGTTCGGGACGCCACAGCGCGTGCTATTCGTCGAGAGGACTCCGAGGAGCGGCGACAAGAGCAGGTGCAAAATACTGCTGACCATGCGACGCGGAGGACTATTCCGGAGTACCGAAATCCGGAACGGGTACGGGACGCCACAGCGCGTGCTATTCGTCGAGAGGACTCCGAGGAGCGGCGACAAGAGCAGGTGCAAAATACTGCTGCCCATGCCTCTCGGAGGACCAATCCCGAATTTCGAATTCAAGAGCAGATTCGGGACGCCGCAGCGCGAGCTGCTCATCGCGAGGACCCAGAGGAACGTGCAAGGGAACAGGAAAGGAACACTGGAGAACACCGACAGCGACGAAGGGATACGGAAAACAGGCAGCGAGAACGGGAAAGGGACGCCGATTACAGGAGAGCAACCAGGAGAAATCCCATCGCAAGAACACAGGAGCAACGGATAAACACATCGCAACGCCGGGAAACACGACAACAGCGGAGGATTCGGGAACAACAAATTCGACTAATGGCAGAGGAAAGATTAATAAACTTCAGGATGGACCCCCAAAATCGACTGGATGCCTCCCAAAGGCAGTCTCAACGCAATATGGACGCAAGAGCTCAACTTTCGGAGGACGAACTGGATCAGGAACGAGAACAACAGCGAAATAGGATTCGAGCAACAGCAAGGGATCTTTATCACAGGAACATAAAGGAAGGACCAACGGAAATTTGTATTTGCTGTGGAGGAACATGGTTCCGTTCGCAGGTAAGTGGATTATACATCCTGGCTATCTCCTCTAAATTTCCCCTCCTAAACGTTGGCAACGCTTTTTATTTGTCACGAAAATTTCCTAGTCCGTCCGGTAAATATAACTTTTGCCATACTTGTCGTCGTGCCATCTCTCTTGGCAAACTCCCGTCACTCTGCCTTTCCAATGGGTTCGACTTCCCAGAAATTCCTGAGTGCTTGAATGGACTCTCCTGCCTCGAAGAACGCCTTATCTCACCGAGAATTCCTTTTATGAGGATTATTTCCCTCGGCTATGAAAGGCAATGCGGAATCAGAGGGGCAGTAGTGAACGTTCCAATTTCAGTTCCTGATATTGTGACTGCGCTTCCGCGCTCTTTCGACTCTACTCATGTCATCCAAGTCCATTTAAAAAGGAGACTAGAGTACGCTCACAATTTCATGACTGAAACTATTCGACCCGCGCGGGTCCTTGAAGCTGTACGGTACTTAGTGAATACCGAGCTCTACAGAAAGCACAACATTTCACTGAACGAATCATGGCTAGCAGGACTTCAAGGAATTAATGAAATTCCTTTTATTGCGGATGAATCTGATCGCGAAGCAGTAGAGCAACTTCTTCAGCAGCAACACCTATCCCAAAATGCTGAAGAGCTCGAAGAAAATTTAAATCCCGGAGGCCATGAAACATTATTGGAAAATAATGATACTGCAATTCAGCGCATTGCATTGGCACCGGGTGAAGGCCGTCGCCCAACAAGCTTAACGCTTGACGAAGACGCAGAGGAACTTTCCTTTCCAACTATTTCTTGCGGAGAAATATTTAAAGGAAAGACAACCTATGCAAAAAAAGCCAGATCTCAAATCCGATTTTACGACCGTCGCTGCGCTGTAGTTCCTAAAGTTTTATACATGTATAAATTTTACGAAATGCAGCGCATTCAAAATTCCATTTCAATTGCTTTACGCAAAAAGTCAGGTGCAGTGACCGCTGGTAATCTGCGGGATGAGTCATTTGTTGACAGACTTGTTCAACATGATGATGGCTACCACATCCTTAAAGGCTTACGGTCTGCACCAGCTCATTGGGAGGCTGAAAAAAAAAGTTATTGCTATGATTCGACAATTTGGGTTGCCAACCTTTTTCATTACTCTTTCCGCTGCTGAAACTAAGTGGAATGAACTTTTAGTTATCCTTTCCCTTCTATTGGATAATAGGGCTATAAGCGAGGAAGAAGCGGCAGCTCTTTCCAGCTCCGAAAAGGCTCGGTTAATCCGATCCGATCCAGTGACGTGCTCTCGATACTTCGATTACAGGTTGCGACAATTAATGAAATTGTTCAAAACCGATATTTTTGGGGAATTCAATCTTTCCCATTTTTATTGGAGAATCGAATTCCAGCACAGAGGATCTCCGCACTCTCATGGCATGTACTGGCTTGCTGGTGCTCCTAAGCTCGAAGACGCCGAAAATACCGAGCAAGTAATAAACTTTATCGATAGGTTTATTACTACAAATGGAGACGATCCTGAGCTACAAGAAGTAATTCAGTATCAACGCCACAAGCATAGTGCTTCCTGCCTGAGAGAGTTACGCGGACAGGAGTTCTGCCGATTCAATATGCCATATCCTCCTATGCCCGAAACGCTTCTTTTGCATCCAATGGAAGAAAACGAAGTAAATGTTGAAGAACATAAAACTTTGTTCAAAAAAATTAAGGAAGCTTTAAGGACCATTTCTAATGATGACGCAGCTTTATATAATAATTTTGATTATTTTCTGACCCACCTTGAAACTAATTTTGAAGCCTACAAATTAGCCTTACGTTCCAGCTTGAAAAAGCCACAAATTTTTCTTCGCAGACAATTCTCCGACCGATTGCTCAATGCTTATAATAGAGATATTCTAGGCTTACACAGAGCTAATATGGATATTCAATTTATCCTAGATGCTTACGCCTGTTGTAGTTATATTATTAACTACATAAACAAATCCAACAGAGGCGTATCGCAGTTGCTCCGTGAAGCCATGGCAGAAATAAGCCATGGGAAT